CTAGTATTAATAAAAAAGCATCAGATTATGGGTAAAGGACATTTTAACGTAAAGGACATTTTCCCAAAGGACATTTTCCTAAAGGATGATTAGTCCGAGGGACATTTTTTCAAGGACGAAAATCTGAAGGACATTTTTTCTAAGGACCAAAATCCGGGGACATTTCGTCAAAGGACATTTTGTAAAGGACATTCTTGACGTAATTCTTACTCACAGCTTCTTCATGAAAAATTTCTTGATATTCCAATACTTTCACAATAAAATCCATATCTTGTTTTTGGTATAACAATCGACGTCTAATTGTATGACTATGACCAATAAGAGCATGAATTTCACCAATTGAAACGTGATATGTTGAATTTCTGTTCGGTTTTATAATTGAACGAAGACGAGCAATATCTTTATTATAAGCATTTTGCTCAGATTTAGATAACTTTGGAAACCAAACTTCTAAATCATTTTTCGAATTATTTGATTTTTCAATGTTGTCGATATTAGATGCTAAAACAGAGAAAACTGTGTTGTGAAAAAAGAAACGGTGTAACTTACGTTTTAAAACATTTTCTGATTCTTTGTTGATGAATGTTGTAACACCTGTATTGTTATTATTTTCGTTTTGAACTGAAAGAGAAAAAAATTAAATATTTTTAGAAAAATATAAATGCATACTTTGCTGCTTCACTGTCTCCCGTGGTTTTATTGCTTTATGAATAGCAACTATTGATTGTGACGATACTAAAATAAAAAATGAAGTATATGTTTTGAATGATGAATTTATTTATTCTGTTCCAAATGTCAACTGCAAGTACGCATTAAAAATTTAATGAGAAACGAGTGAAATAGAATTTATTGTTTTCGAGAATAAACTGGCTTATTTTTCCATTAATAAAGAAAACATGGAAAATCAGCTGTGAATAAACAGAACGAATAAGTCATGAACTTTCTTTTTGAATGTAATTGTATGACTATTGTTTCATACCATGAGCTATGTTACCTATGATTCATCGATTCATACAGAGAAGAAAAGAAACTACATCATTCTTTACTAAAAATGTCGATGATTCATTTGCATTTCATCTTTGTCAAACATATTCTGTTCGTCTTTTTATCGTTAGAATTTACCAACTTATCTGGTGTAGGATGCATATGACCATTATGATATATGAGACTAGTTGATGCATTTGTTGTGATGATTGATTTCATTAAAATTGGTTTAATTGAGATATTTGTATCATTAGTAACTGTTGCAGCTGATGAAGGTACTAACGAAATAGTTGCGCGTCGATTTGTTGATATTGTTGATGGTTGAATTGAGATTTTTGACGCTGGAGGTGCTACAGGTGATTGTTCTAAATAGAAATATATAGAGCCATAATGAAGATAAAATGATGCACATTTTGTATTTCAATTGAAATATTTACCATTTGAATCAGGTAGCAATGCTGATGTTTTATTTATATTCGAACCATCGAACACTTCTTCAATTGAACATTCATTTAATGAATCTATAAATAAAAATAAAAAATTTTAGATGGTATATTATTAATAAATAAAACGTACCTTGTTTATCACAACCAATAACAAGATTAGGTACATCTTCTTCATCTTCTGTTGTCGCATCAACAACTGCATTTTTATTTGTTTTACCATTATAACTTGAATCGAGTATAGATTGTCGTGGTTTTTTGGTGTTGGATGAGTTTTTGAATACTTCACATTTTGCTTCTTTCGAGAAATTAGATGAGATATTGTATACTGTTAATTTCAGAAAGTAATTGTTATTTTAATATTTTTATTTTTCAATAAACTTTTAAATAAACTTACATATGGTGCTTTTCCATCTACTCCATCTGTACTCTTATCCAAATAGCTAAGTGCTGGAAATTTTTGTATAATTGCCATAATAAATGAATGATGAATATTTGTTGAGGTACCATCAGGATATTGTTGAAGAAAATGAGTACATGTTTGATGTAAAAATTCTTTTTTGAATTGCTGGAAAAGATTCTACAATAAAATAATAAAACAATAAAATATAATATAATAAATTAAAACTGAACATACCACGAGATTGTAAACCTTGAATGATCATGTCACAATATGTTGGTAATGTTGGTAATTCATTGACTTTATCCTAAAAAGGAGATGATAAAAATAACTGATATAATTGACCCAAGAAACACTACATCACGTTCAGGTATTGACTTTTTACGAGATCTTTTTGAAGAAACATGTGTGTTAATATTATTATTTTTTTCATTTTTATTGAACATTGGTGATGAACAAGGATGACCAGTAATTAAATCAATTGTATCAGATGTATCAAAATTCATTTTTAATCCATTAGGTTGATCAATAATTTGTGAATATGAAGTAAATTCGAAATAATCAGTAAGTTCAGGATCATAAAATTGTATTCGATGATGATGTTGATCAGGATAAAGTGATCTGATATTGTTAACCATTGTATCATAATCTGCACCAATTACAGTTGTCTTGCGACCTTGATGTTCAAATATAATTTTCATCTTAAAAAAGGAAAAAAAATTAATTATATTTTTAGATTAATCATGCACTGTTCTGTTTGTCAAACTGATTTCAATACACTCTCTGCCTATGTCAAACATCATCGTGACTCACATAGTCATAGTAAAAATGTCCGTCTTGTTTGTTCATGTGGTGGTACTTTCAGTACTCTTCGAAGTTTACAAACTCAGTGAGATTTCGTATTTTTCTTGTCAATTTTATCATAAAAAAAATTTATTTATTACTCATTTCTAGTTGGCGTCGATTTCATAAAAATAAAGAAGAAATAATTAATGAAGATACGGAAGTTAATGAAAAGAGTGAAAATGATGATAAAGATTTATCAAGTCGAAGAAATCAAGAAGAATCTTCAGATTTAGGTTTTCGAATGGAATCAAGTGATACAGATGCTGAAAGTGTTAATAATGAATCAATGAATATTTCTGATGAAACTGGAAGTTTAAGGGAAGAGGAACATTTGAAGATTTTTGAAAAACGTATCGTATACCTCTTGCTTACGCTTCAATCAGTTTTCTATACATCTGAAGCTGCTATCAATTTTGTAGTTGAAAGTCTTGCAGAGCTTTTCCTTGCTATTTCAACGAAACATCTGGTTTGGATTTTTTATATAATCGATCTCACATATCTTATAGAGTCATTATTTTAGAACATCAATGCTCTCACTACCTGTATAAATCAATTAAAATCAAGTTACACTCGGAAGAAGAAGGCGACGGAATATTTTCAATATATCGAACCAATCAGTGGATCATACCAGGTACTGTGTGCAGCTAGAATGAGAGTTAAAAACTTATCAAAAAAATAATAAAAACGATAAAGACTTCATATGTGTTTTCTGTTTTATAGACAACTACAAAAAACAAGGAAATTAAAACAGTTAAATAGGCGTACGTGCCTTTTCTACTTAGTCCTGAACAATATCTACGTCTGCCGAAAGTTCAAGCTGATTTACACCGTACAATTACTGATTATGATCCTGATTGTATTCAAGATCTTTGTGATGGTGATTTTGCAAGAAATCACCAGAACTTTCAGAAATCAACTTATCTCAAAATTGAATTAAATTCTGATGATCTAACAATTACTAATTCCATATCTCATCGTGCTCATTCAATTTTTTTCTTTTATTGACCTTTACTAAATATATCAAAAGAAAAAAGATCAAAACAATCTGCAAAAAGACTTGTTGCAGTTTGTTCAAAGTGGGCACGAAAATATAATTCATTACATTACACTGTTAATGATTTTTTAAAGGGAATCAATACACTTTTGACCACTGGTGGGATAATAACTAGCTATTTGAATAACAACACCTTCTCATAATGTTTTACATAGGTCTCACTCGCAACATCAATGGAAATGACATTACTTATTATGATAATTTGTTCATCACACTTGGTGATTATCCAGCTCAAATGTCATTAAATGGATTTAAAGAAAGTGTATCTGCAACTCATTTCTGTCACTTGTGTGATATACAACATGAATGTTTAGAAGATGATATTTCTTATGATTTTCCAACTATTACTCTAGCTGAATATAGAGAACGATCAGTACAAAAAAAAACTTTTTCTTACCTTCAAATGTTTTTCAATTCTTTCGTAGTTGTGCTAATTTGAAGATTGCTCAAGATTGTCCTAAATCGTACGAAAATTTCTCAAAAAAATATGGAATAAATAATAGGACAATGTTTGATGAATTATATGATGTCACACGTCAATGCTCGTATGATATCATGCATACTTTACTCGAGGTAAAAAAAATTTATCAATATTAGATAACACTACTAATTTTTTTCACAAAAAAACTAGATTGTCAAACGCTTCTAAAGTTAAATTTCTTATGTAATAATTATAGGGCGTGCTACCTAATCATCTCAATGCATTCTTACAGTTTTGTTCAATGAAGGGTTACTTCACGTTGGATCAATTCTGCTCCGAGGTGAACAATTTTTCATATGTTGAAGGTGAATTAAATTCGAAACCTCATCTTGATTTAACTTTGGAGAATTTATAAAAACAAAACAATTTGGGAATGCCTCTGACATCAATGCAAACGTTCAATCTTTTTACAAATTTACCTTTTATTTTAAAGAAATTACTTTAGTCATCAGATTTTCCTCAGTATTATGCAATATTAATATGTGTAGATATTCTTTCATTATGCTTTGCTACAACTATTACCAACAATACTCCTAAACAATTATCTCATTTTATTAAGGTGCATAATGATTTATTTAGAAAATTATATCCAGGAAAAATGAAGTTTAAATTTCATTTTATGACTCATTTTCCTGATATGATGAAAAATTTTGGACCTTTAGCTTATACATCATGCTTAGCTACTGAACGAAAACATCAATTTTTCAAGGGGAATAAAGTTCGAAACTTAAAACATCCTTCACTGATGTTGGCGCAAAGACATGAAATGTGGGTGTGTGTGAAAGACCATTGTCAAGATGGATCTTTCTCTCATACTACTCTATCGGATCTACCTGATGATCGACTCGATGATCGACAACCAATCAATGATGGACAAATACAATTTCTTATCTCAAACATGATCAAATTGCCTTTTAAACCTCTTTCTATATTAAAGTCTATTACTATCAATGAGCAAAAGTATTCGCATAATTCTATTTTAAATGTTTCCAAAGAACATTTTCCAAGTTTACCAACAGTTGGAAAAATTCGATGGATTTTGTATGATGGAAGAAAATGTGCCTTTATTTGTACGATGTACAAAGTTGAAGGCTGTGCACAAAATTTAAGAGCTTTTCAAGTTACAGAAATGAACAAACTCGATCTTTTTTTTCTCGAATATATCTGTTACAAAAAAACGTTAAAACTAGTCTCGTTAAATGGACTTTTGTATTTTCCTTTACATCCCTATGGTAAATCTTTTACTGTTTTATAAATGATTGTTAAACCTTTTTTCCTTTATTAACTTCTTAAGATAGCACTCCTCAAAAAAAAAACATTCTTTTAAAAAATAAAAAAAACTTACTTGTACTTTATACGTGGAAAGAAAATCAAAATCGTCGATCAATGGATAAACAAATAAGAAAAGATTATCTAAGACAAAAGAAACAAAACTATGTTAAAATAATTATCTTAAGTAAAATAATTAAGCATAAAGTTCAATAATAATTAAAATGATGGTCATTTTATCAGAAAACGAAACGCATAATTTATAAAATTCACATCAAAATTATTCATTGCGATTGTGCACAAGGACAGAAATCAAATGAAACTTCTACTAAACGACACTCGTATAAAAATAATCTAATTAGAAGAAGATTAAAAATATATAATAATCTGCAATAAAAAAAAGAAAATAACATATTGAAAAGAAAAAGAAATCAATAAACAGAAAGGATAATTCTGATAGTGGTGAAGAAAATTAGCCAACAGTTTATGTGAAAAATTATGCACCAACAGATGGTGCTATAGTGCCATTTGTAAAGACTAAGGTGACTACTCGATGAAAATTATACTTAAGACGCGTCAGTGTCTTCTATAGCCAAGTGTCTAAAAAAAATAAGACGCTTCAAATATCTAAGTGGTGTCTAAATTAGACGTTAGACGAATGCACCGTCTTGTAAGACGCATGGCATTTTTTAGACTGTTTTCTTTCATCTGAGCCACCATGATGTGTGTGTTTCTCGACATTTTAACGTTGTTATTCACAGAACGAAGAAGAAAAAAACAGTCTGCTTTTTTTTTCATTCTCTTTTAGGTTCTTGTCTACCGCGTGTTTCATCTATCTCAAGGTTTATTGCGCATAGTTATAAACTAAGTATAGAACTACCATCAAAATCATAATTTTCATTAAGAATACTAAAATTAGATTTGAGCAAGGATAAATGAATGGATAATATGTATTTACTTATATGAAATTTATTTATTTTTTCATTAGAAAACATTGAAATGTGGTTTTTGATGGTCATTGTGACATAAATATAAATAATCATCATGTATGTTTTCATTGTCGACTTGTCAAATGTTTTTTTTCAAGTAGAATTCAAACTGAAATGATTTGATCTTCTAGTTCAACAAAAGAGTAAAATAAATTTAAAAAAAAATAATGACAAATCCAGTACAAAGTACATCAACAACTTTTGTCAGATTAAATGAACCTGATTAGCTGAGACTAGTTGATTGTTAGTACAAGTGAAACTTTAAAAATAGGTTAATTATTTTTTTAAAACTTTTTACGAAAGAGAATCGTACAATTACTTATAAATACAAGTAACGTGCATCCTTCAAATTCGTTGATCCTTTTCTAATAGAATGGTACTTTATTGTGAATTAGAAACTACTCACTATGATCTCGTAGGACTTTGGTGTTAAAATATTTGGAGACTCGAAAAAACATAATCATGCACAGAATTATATCCATAATTTAACGGTGTAGTTTTTTAAAATTTTTATCAGATAATGTGTATCTTGCTGATAGTTCTATAGCATTAC